GACGTCTACGTAAGCAAAATGAATGCAATGGTGGCGATAGAGACGTGCAAGGAAAAAAGAAAACCAAAAGAGAATTAGGGGAGAGAACGAAAGAATTAAGTAGTGAGTGAGAGCCCATGATTCACAAATTTATATGTGAAAGCTGTGTAGCAAAGCTTGGTTGTTTGATTCAATTGGGTGTCTCACACGATGTTTTGGATTTTCGCCCATCGACGGCTGCCAACCTTCTGGCCACCGACGGCTGCGATCGAGAAAAAAGAAGACTTTTGTTTTGCAAAACCGTTCGTTCTTTCTCCGAGTCATACGTGCCTTTGGCCCGGCTGTAAATTGAAGACCTCTTGGTCCGTTTCTCTCAATCCTGGCAATGGCGAAGGGATGGAAGAAGAATCGCCGGAGCGCAAGAGTTGTCCTCTGTTTCGCGGCACTGGGGAGCTGGATAATCGTGGAATTGTTGAGCGTCATCCAGCACAGAGCAGCAATAGTTTGTAGGAATCGATGCGCCAGAGCTCAATTTCTCTGTGAATTTTCTTGATTGACAAGTTTTCTCGCAGATGATGTTCCAGAGCTGTTCATTCTTTTCAGGAGCAATCCCGGCAGGCGGATGAACTTGTTGTTGGGGAAATTCAGCAATGGAAACCAGGATCGAGCCCAGCAACCGGCAGCTCAAGAAGAGAAAGCTCAAGGACTAGGTGCGATTCGATTTGTAGGAAATTTGCAAACCATTTGTGAAGTTTCGTGCTCTTGGCTACGCAGGCTTGAATATGGAGAAAATCAAATCAAACATCACTTGCGATTTCTCTCACTTTCGAACCGACGTATGCGAATTGCGAGGCGACGTCCGAGTGAGCGGTGGAAGAGCCGGCAAAGTCGCGCTCCTGGACGCAGAATCACCCCAAGACTCACACCAAGTTGTGGCAAAGATCAAGCCTTACACAAGAAAATGGGAGAAGAGCTGCATGGCCACAATTGGAGAGGTCTCGCTGGAAATCCTCCCTCTCAGCTCCTCGCCCAGCATGCCTTGCGACACAAACCATTCCGTCCCGGCGGTGATCCTCTCCACGGGCGGCTACACCGGCAACGTCTACCACGAGTTTAACGACGGCCTCATTCCCCTCTTCATCACCTCCCACAAATTCCATGGCGAGGTTGTCTTCCTCGTCCTGGAGCTCCACAAATGGTGGATGATGAAATACGGTAGCATCGTGAGCAAGCTCTCAAACTATCCCGTCCAGGATTTCGATCGCTCCAAGCGTATCCACTGCTTCCCGCAAGCAATCCTGGGGATGCAAATTCACGACGAGCTCGCCATCGCCAGCCAAGCACCAGAAGCTTCAATGCGCGACTTCCAGCAGCTGCTCAAAGCCTCGCTCAACTCCCAGAAATCTCCACTCAAGCCCATGTCCCGCGTCGCAAAAGTTGGCAACAAAGTTGGCGGATCTTCGAGCCCAAAGTTGGTGCTGCTGGCCCGGAAGGGCAGCAGGGTCTTGCTCAACCAGAACGCACTCGTGAGGCTGGCCAAGAAGATCGGGTTCCGTGTCGTTGTGCTCGCACCAAACTCGCACTCGTCCCTGTTTGAGCTTCACGAGGAGCTGCACTCGGCCCATGTCATGGTTGGCGTGCATGGGGCGGCACTCACGCACTTCCTGTTTATGAGGCCGGCTTCGGTTTTCATTCAGATTGTTCCTCTGGGGACGGAATGGGCTGCGCAGACTTACTATGGCCAGCCAGCCATGAAAGCAGGGCTTAGGTATTTGGAGTACAAGATCGTGGCGGAGGAGAGCAGCCTGGTGAAGAAGCTGGGGCGGGAGAGTGCAGCTGTTGCACATCCTGAGGAGATCACCTCCAAGGGCTGGTGGGAGATGAAGAAGATTTACTTGCAGAACCAGGATGTCATGCTGTCGCTGCACAGGTTTAGACCTCTCCTTGAGCAAGCATTCAAAGAGAGTGTTTTCTAGGCATTTTTTGAACTGTAAAAAAAGGAAACAAAAATGTTTGTAAATCTTTTCCAGAACTGGAAAAAAATATAAAAATGTTAAAACTATAAAATGGTTCTTCCGGTCAGAAAGAATGTCAAGCCCACTTTGCAAAATGGTAGGCTAGCAGCTCTCCTTTGAGCTCTTCAGCATCTGGAACAAGAGCAGGCAGAAAAAAGCCTGAAAATACAAATGGCTGAACAGAAACACGGGAAGTTTTTAGCCTGGTGGAGCGGATAGAGTTTTTTTAGCTTTCGTGTACCTGTGGCCAGCCGGATTTGTGGTGATAGACCAGTGGATTCAATCCATGCCGGAGTGAGCTGCTCTGGACTTTCATGCAAGGAATGCACTGAGGATAGAACTTTTGGGTCAGTTTGAGCCGGCGTCGAGGCTTCCAGTGAAGAGCATTAGGCGGTATGTGATCTGCAATGCTAACAGAGATCATCAATCGCTATCGAAGGCTTCCAAGCTAAGAGTTTTGAGATTTTACCTTTCTCCGATTGTCTTGCCGCAGTGGTGGCAACCAAACTCTCTGTACAAAAGCCTGATGAGGAACTTTTCGTGCTTGGAGGCATAGCGCATTCCTGCTGTGAGATGATCTTTATGCGAGGAAACAAAATGGAAGAGTTGAGAACTTACAAGGAAGATAAGCCAGTGCATAAACTCCAGGAAATCGCACATCACTTGGCAATAGATTCCGATACTTGCCACCTAAAGCCTGCACAAGATTTCCATTTGGTTTTAAGCAGCAAACATAAACTTGTACCCTTGACTATACCTTGAAGGATACGAGGCCCATCAACGCTGGTAAGAGCACAGGAAGAATTTGAGACGACGACGAGAAACCAGCATCAACATCTGGAAACTCGGCAGCAGCAATCCTTTCGATTTGATTCACAATCTATTCAATCTACTTTCAGTTTCTTCAAAGAAAGAAGAAAGAAGAAAAAGAACCTGCATTGAAGATGTCGAGCATAAAGCCACAAACGCCGCACCAAAAGCCCAGCTCGCAAGTGGAGTGGCACAGGAAATCCTGCAGAGCTTTCCTACACGCTTCCAGCAAAAAGGGAGTGAAATTTCCCCGCCCAGAAGATCAAAATACCTGCGCAATCGGCAGCGATGCTCCAAACGCAACACCAGCAATAAGCGTTTTTGCAGGCAATGATAGAGAAGGTCGCTCCTCCATGGACGGCGCTTTCACTTCCACAGCCTCCTCGATCGAAGACGCTTGCCCCATGGATAGAACAAGAAACCCTAAGGTTTACTAGTAGGAAATTAGAATTAAGAGAACAAAATTATTAAAATTACTTTAATATATTGCAATTATGATTTTTACAATAAAAAATAATTATTTTATTTTATGCATCCAACATGTTTGTAAGTATTTGTTGCCAACTAATCTTTATTTGATGCTGAAGTATTATAATTTACAAAATTACAATCATATTGAATAGTAATATATGTAAGATAAAAATATTTAACACAAAACTTATTAATTGACCATAAAGTTTTAAAATATTCATTATATAGAATAAGGTTGCCATTAGTTTGGAAACTAAGTATATAATTATCATTATATTCTTTATTGTCAGATTTCCATAATAAATTTTCTTCAGAACAAAGTTTAAGTATATAGTTTAAATTTAAATAAATTATATTTTTCCCATTAAAGGATTTAAAAACTTCACCCTTTTTAATGAATTTTTTGGGTATCCTGCATATAACATTGAGAAACTTATATCACAATTTTCTTGAAAATAAGTTATTCTAGAAAATTTTAGTATATATGTTAAATATGTTAGATTCATATTCCACCAATAATAAACAAAATAATCAATTTCAAAATTAGTAGCTATAATAGTGCATTCACTAGATTTTGTAATTCTCATAGTATTGTTATATTTTTTAACTAAATAAAGAATTCTATTTTTTATATTTAAACCAAAAATAGAATTATTTGAAAGGTTGCCTACAAAACAATTTAGAGGATTACTTGCAAAACATTTAACACTTACGATTGCAGCACCCCGTCCAAAATCTATAGATATCCAGTTATTATAGTTTGGTGAATAATTTGAATCACTAGTATCTATTTTTGAAATTAATATATCAAAACTATATGAAAGTATATTATTAATATTATCATTTGTCAAAATATCATTTATTCCCCATTTTATATTTTCTTTAGTAAGACATGACTTTGAATTTGTTAATAGAAGACATATGAGAATTAATAATTTTATAAAGAACATTTTTATTAACAATTATAAAGCTATTATTTATTATTATAAAATTTTATCCTATTTTATTTACATTTTCTATGTTTTAACTCTCTTAATCTGTAACAAGTGTTGTAATGTTAAAAAATACATATATTAACTTTTTCTTCATAAAATCTTAAACCAGAAAAGATTCATATAGATATTTAAAAAATATTTTCATAGCCTTTAATATCAATATAAAGTTAAAGTTTTCCCTTTTTGAGGTTAAATGACTCAAGAAGCATCCATCCATCTCTGGATGATGTGACCATCTTTCATTCATTTGCTCCAACCATTAGATTATCCTCAGCTGAAGGTAGCTAATGGTTTTTTATTCAAGTGCTAAAGAGCATTAATTCACTAGACTTCTGTTAAAAACTTCAATGCCTTTTACAAGCTGTAATGATCTTAACTCCAGACGATTGCACCATACTCGAAAAGTTTGTAGAACTGTCACAGGTAGGACTCCTTATATTCATAATGTGCAAAGAAGAAAGCTTTACATGTTCCCAATGTAACATGGACTCCTAGAACATCAACAATTTCATGGACGAGAAGAAACATCCTCTCTTGGTCATGGTTCTGTCACTTCATCAAAAGCTAAAAATATAACCAGCAAGCAAATTGAGTGATTGGAATATGCCTAGCACAGAATCTAAAGGGCTTCCACAACGTCGCCACGTGGAGATTTGGCTACGCCACGAGGCAGCCTTCCATTGGACATGATTCATTCACCCTATCTCCTCCGTGGATTGTTGTGTGGTTTTAAAACAGTATAGACGCATTCGTTTTTTGTAAGTCGCTCGATCGAGAGAGAGGGAGAGAGAGAGAGAGAGAGAGAGAGAGCTTGAGATGGCAGCAGCGATGATTGCAGCATCCACCGCGGCTGCGTCAGGCAGCTCCTTCTTGCGGGGATCCGGGTCCAGGAAGAATGCTCTTCGCGATAGATCCGTCCAGTGCCAAGCAAAGGTTTCAATGGTAAGCTCTCGAAAGTTAATCTCCAGCACCTACATTGCTTCAAAATTCTAATAAATTTTTTGCTCTCCAGGATCTCTGGTATGGACCAGACCGTGTCAAGTTCCTGGGTCCTTTCTCCGCACAAACTCCATCCTACTTGAAGGGAGAGTTTCCTGGCGATTATGGCTGGGACACTGCCGGACTCTCCGCTGATCCAGAGGCCTTTGCTCGCAACCGCGCTCTCGAGGTACGCTCATTTAGTTCCAAGAACTTTGGAAGAACTTCCAAACTTCTTGGAACTCTTATCGTGTTCGTAAGTTTGGAAACCAACTTGTTGTTTCTTTTCTTTTTGATAAACAAACCAGCTGATCCACGGACGCTGGGCGATGCTGGGAGCTCTTGGCTGCGTCTTCCCGGAGGTCCTCTCCAAATGGGTCGGTGTGGAGTTCAAGGAGAAAGTGTGGTTCAAGGCCGGCTCCCAGATCTTCTCCGACGGAGGGCTCGACTATCTCGGCAATCCCAACTTGGTTCACGCTCAAAGCATCCTCGCCATCTGGGCTTGCCAAGTGATTCTCATGGGACTGGTCGAGGGTTACAGGATCAATGGACTTCCTGACGTTGGAGAAGGCGGTGACTTGTATCCCGGTGGCCAGTACTTTGATCCCCTGGGGTTTGCTGACGACCCCGAGACTCTGGCGGAGCTCAAGGTGAAGGAGATCAAGAATGGAAGGCTGGCGATGTTCTCCATGTTCGGTTTCTTCGTCCAAGCTATTGTCACCGGCAAGGGACCTTTGGAAAACTTGTTCGATCATCTCGACAACCCTGTGGTCAACAATGCTTGGGCCTATGCCACCAGATTTGTTCCTGGCAGCTAAACGGAAAAACCAAAAAAAAAAGAAAAAAAGCAGAGAATTTAATTCTTTTGTTTTGATTGTAAAAAACACTTCTTAAGAAACACTCATGGTTTTTGCTCTTGAAGCTTATTTCCTGCTTGAACACAAAGAAATAGAAAGAACTTACTATAAAAACTGTGGCGAACAGGCTTAAAAGATGGTCTTTTAGCTTTAAGCTCACTGCGGGTGCCATTTGATACTGCAGCCAACACTGTATTTGTAGTAAAAAAATCGTGTGAGAAACAAGAGAGAAAAAGAAAGATATATTTCTGACCTTGCGAATTGTGTCCCAGAAATTGGCTTGCCAGAAAGAACACAGTCCAGTGCCTCGCGAATATCACTGTAAACATCAACCAAAGCGAATTAGCTATAGCTTGGACTGGATATGGAAATTGGAGCATAGAGCCATGCCTTCCGGTTATGGGCTTGCCGCTGCGAGGGCGGGACTCGTCGAATCTGCCGTGGTATACGAGCTCGAAGCATTTTTCTTCTGACTGGTAGGAGAAAAGATGTTTTTTTTTTCCAACTGTTATGCGAGAAAACCAAGTTACCTTTTTGAACAAGAAAAACTCCGGAGTGCAAACAGCTCCATAAGCTTTAGCAACTTCCTGAGTCTGTGGAGACAAGGATTTAGACAAAATAAGAGAAAACACTCGAGAGAGAGAGAGAGAGAGAGCTCTAGAGAAAAGAAAATACATGCCTCGTCATAAAGATATGGGAAGTTGTAGCCAAATTTTTTAGCATCCTCTGCCATCATCTCAGGTCCATCCTACACATCAAACAAACTCTCAAAACTTCTGCAAACTAGAAAAAGAAAAAAGAAAGACAAGCAAGAAAAGCGAAAAACAAGCGAAATTTTCTCACTTCTGGATGTGTTGCCACCGAGTTTGAGGAGATTCCAACCACAGCAACACCCTTCTGTTGCACAAACGCTATTAAAACCCAAGAAGGAGAAAAAGGAAAGATTTCCCTTCCACCTGTGAATACTCTTGTGCAAGCTTGGCAATGCCTTCCTTCAGATGCACAACATATGGACAATGGTTGCAGATAAACATCACCTGAAAAAGAAGTTTTAGAATCTCCTGGACGAAAAGAAGAAGCAAAGTCACCAAAAGTGCTGGAGATTGCTTGAAATCCTCGAGCTTCCATGTCTTTCCGCTCAAAGGCTCCGGGAGCTGAAACTTCCTAAGTGTTAGAGAAACAAATTAAATCGAAACAAGAAATGCTGCGAGCACACCTCAAAGTTTGGGGCCGCTTCTCCCAATTCCAGCCTCTTCGCCATAGCCGCGTTCACGCTAACACCCAAAAAGAAAAATACAAGTTAAGAAGCACTATAGAAAGAATCGATTTTTACCTTGGGCGTGCCTTTGCATGCTTGAGGCCATGACAAAAACCGCGGACCTCGAGCTCACCTCCGCCAACTTTCCAAGAACGCGCCCTCCAATCGCGAGTTCCTCGTCGGACGAGTGCAAATTCCTACACGAGCTCAGCAAGCTCGTCAATGCCACCGCGTCGGGCTCGAAAGGCATGCTCTCCACGAGCTCCAGCGCTTCCTGGAGCCTCCCGGATCGTCCCAAGAGATCCACAACGCAGCCAAAGTGATCGCGGTCGGGCTCCACGAAGAAATCCCCCTTGAGAGTGACGAAGTAGTCTCGGGCGTAGCGGAGCTTCCCGGCGTGAGCGCAAGCTGTGAGAAGGCTCGTAAGCGTCGAGGCATCCGGGAGAGATCCATCCAGCGCCATGAGCTCCACGAGCTCGCTGGCTCGATCCGAGAGACCATTGTGAGCGTAAGCTCCGATCATCACATTCCATGACGAGGAGGAGATACCACCGAGCTTTGATCCATGGAAGATCTCCATGGCCTCGCGCAAGCACCCGGATTTGCCATAGAAGTTGATGAGCGTGTTGGTGATGATCTCCGAGTAGTGGCGGGAGTGGAATCGATCCACCAAGCTGGCGTGGATGATCCTCCCCTCGGTCAGCGCTGGAGCTCCCAGGCAAGCATCCAGGACTGCCAAGAACGTCACCTCGTCGCTCTCCACTCCGGAGAGATCCATCTCGCGGAAGCACTGGATGGCCCCGCGGTAGAGCTTGCAGTGGCAGTGGGCCGCGATGATCGCGTTCCAGATCGGGGTGGTCGGCTCGCCGATCGAATCAAAGAGGGCTTTTGATCGATCTATGGATCCTCCTTCGTGCCGTGCGAGCTCGGTGATGATCACCACCCATGCGATCTCGTCGCGCTGCGGCATTCGATCGATCGCGGCGGTAGCAATGGTCGGCTCCCCGAATCGAGCGCACGCCTCCACGATCGCGTTCCAGGAGGCCTGATCGCGCTGGGCGAGGCTGTGGAAGATCGCCAGTGCCTGGGAGAGGGATGATCCACCACTCCGGCCGAGAAGGCTGATCATCGATGTTCCTGGGAGGAGCTGGAGATCCGGGCGGGGGATTCGATCAAACACGGTCTTGGCGCCATCGATTCGATGCTCCGCCGCGAGCACCTGGATCATCGCGTTGCTAGCGCACGAATCGTGGGCGGGCATTCGATCGAAGAGCCTCTTCGCGTGGATGAGATGATCGCCGCTCAAAACGTTCTCAGCCAGCGCGACGAGGAGCGCGTTCCAGCAGTAGAGATCGCGGTGAGGGAGGCGATCGAAGAGATAGATCGCGTCGGCAGCGCCGCCATAGCGGCGGGCGTGGGCCGCCACGATCATCGTCCACGAGATGAGATCGCCGCCACTACCACCGTCGCCTGGGATGGAATCCAGCACCGCCATCGCGCCGTGCACGTCCCCGCGATCGGTGTGGGCTTTGATCGCGGCGTTGAAGGAGACAATGCTGCGCGCTGGCATTCGATCGAAGAGCTCGCCCATCGTGGCTATTTGCTCCGCAAAGACCCCGAGAGCAGTGTTCCAGGACAAGAGGTTCCTGTGGCGCATCGATTGGAAGAGCTCGCGCGCGCGGTCGATCGACGGGCAGTGCTGGAGGATCGCGTTCCAGGGATTGACGCTGTGCTGGGGCATCCTCCGCAGCATCGACCACGAATCGTGGATTCGCCCCGCTTTGGCATTTACCGCGATCATCGCGTTCCAAGAGATTGCGTTCCTCTCGGGCATACGATCGAAGATCTCTTGTGCTGAATCGAGCTTGTGTGATTCAGCATAGGCCCCTAGAAATGCCGTCCAGGAGATCACATCATGGAGAGGAATCCGATCAAAGACATCGTCAATCCACTGCAAATCCCCTGCTTGGGCAGATGCAGTGAGTAGACAATTCCAGGACGAGAGCTGCCGCGCGGGCATTCGATCAAAGATTTCTTTGGCATCACAGACTGAATGGTGCTGCGCGAAAGCTTGCATCAGTGTGTTCCAGGAGATGGAATCGGGCTCGGGCATGAAATCAAAGACATGCTTCGCTTGAGCACATTGCCCTGTTTGGGCAAATGCCGCGATAAGCACATTCCAGCAAGGGGAATCCCACTGGGGCGTCCGCAAGAACGTAGCTATCGCGGCTTCCATCTCGCCGCTCTTCGCGAATCCGGCTATAAGGACTGTCCACGCAACCAGATCCCGCGCGGGCATGGCGACGAACGCCGCGCGCGCTGCGTCGATGTGGCCATTCTCCGCGTAGGCGGCCAGGATCATGTTCCAGGAGAAACGATTCTTGGGCTCGATGGCGTCGAAGACGCGGCAGGCATCGCCCACGCTGCCGCAGTTGCCATACATTCGAACAAGCATGTTGCTGAGCAGCACATCGCGATCCGCGAACCCAGCGGCCGCGATCCTGGCGTGGAGGGCTCGCCCCTCGACGAGGCTGGAGCATTGGCGCAAGAGGCGAGCGAGGGATTCCCTGCAAGAAGCACTCACGGCGGTCATTCGCCGCCGGCCATTGCTAGGAAGACGAAGACGGCATATGCTTTGCTCCCCAACAGAATATGTGGCAGACGGAATATGCAGGTAGGGCTTGACGGAAGATGCCAGGGCAACGATGCTATGGAAGAGCTTGAGCGATGTGGCTGGGCGAGGCGCTGCGATCGTGCAATGTGTGTGCTTCATGGATGTCTTCTCCAATCACGTCCTCCAGATTCAACAGGTGAGGCACTTCGATCGCGGCATTGCTTCTTTCTTCCGGTCCATCGCCTTTGCCGCATTGTTTTCTGGATTTTTCCCCTGCATTGTGGGATGTATTGGATTTCGCACATCAACTTACAATTTCTCCTGATTCATTGCATCGCGATGTTAGATTGTTCTTCAAAATATTTTCTATTTGGTTTCATCCTTTATATCTCTTTCTTCTAAAGCATGTTGTGCTTGCTTTTTGCTCCTACTTTCTTTTTGCTATGCAAAGATCTTACAGCTCTAAACTTTTGTCCTAACACTGCCCGTTTGTTCTTCGCAGTGCATTGGACCCAGTATGCTTCCAACGTTTAATATACGAGGGGACATCCTGGTGACCGAGCGATTGTCAGTAAAGCTTGGGAAAATCAGAGTTGGGGACGTTGTCATGGCGAGATCACCATCCGATCCACGCATGGTAGTCTGCAAGAGAATCCTTGGCCTGGAGGGTGACACCATCACTGTGGCGAGTGATAAAGGAGGTTCGACGAAGGTTAAGGTGCTCACTCGAGTTTCTATACCTTTTGGTGTTTAGTTCTATCATTTGCAGATACCGAAGGGACATGTCTGGCTTCAAGGGGATAACTTCCACAAGTCGAGAGACTCGCGGGAGTATGGGCCAGTGCCTTCTGCATTGCTCCAGGGCAGGGTGTTTTACCGGGTGAGCAAGCCTTGCGTTGTCTTGTTAAAGTTGTAGCTAAGGTTTTATGAATTTCTAGATTTGGCCCCCTCAAGGTTGGGGTTTTGTGGGTAGGATACCATCGCAATCTGTGTAAGTTGGAGAGGGATTTAGACCGTCAGGAATGAAAATTGTGTTGTCATCAAGACTCTAGTATCTTATCCTCCAGCAGCTCCAGAGCAACTTTACATCTTTATCTCCTAATAGGGAGCTCTTGATCCATATCTGAAACAGTGATGGAAAGCTCAGGCTTGGAGAGTCTCTATGAAAATACTTGAATATTCTAGTATATGTTAAGAGGTATAAAGTTGTCTCCTGCTCCTGGTTTTGAGGGAAAGCATACCAATATGCGAAGTTCCAGGCTGATAGGAGTGTCCACTGGTGCATCAGACAATTCCCCTAGTTTGCTAGTAAATATCAAATGCCATGTTTTGTGTAGATCGAGGTCCAGAAGTCAGAGCGTGAGTGGATGAAAAATTACTTTTGAGGATTAACTTGAAACACAAAAAATGGTGCTGGGAGATACAAAGACTTTGGCATAGAGAGAAAATTTTGAAGGCCTTCTTTGTGCATACTTAACATTTGTTCACAGTAGGAATATGCACTGTGAGAAAAATCTTCTAGAGACAAGCTTGAAAACAAAAGAAAATTAAAATTGTGAGGTCCAAGTGTACAATTATCATATTGGCATCGGGGGACAGATATTCTCTTACCCTTAGATTTTTAGGATGGATGGCTTAAATGTAACACTCTCTTAAAACGGTTATGGCTTTTCATATATCTGAGGGTTTTATGTTTGACTCTCATATATCACTGTGCAGCATTGGGAACGAGATTGTGAGCCCCTTGAAAATACCATTTTCCTCAATTTGGTACACAAATTTTTTGTTTCAGATACACTATGGTGGCTTGATTATTCACTTATGATAAGTTTCTTTCTCGCAGTTGGACACATTTGTATGATCCTGGCGCTTACAAGACAAGTGTATAGTTATAATGCCGTATATTAATATTAGTGTAGTGGGATTTTGTATTAGTTTAAATCTAGACTACTTACTCTTATATATAAGCTAGGGTTAAATATGTATATTTTATATTCTATTTCTATATTTCTATACACTCACATTAGTAAAGATAAGAGTGGATTTATGTATTTGATTTAAATTTAGTTTTTGCATTATCTAAATCTCTCTATTTTTGTAGTTTTAAAATTTCTTCTCTTTTGTTTTTCTGCTTTACATTCATCTCTATGGCAAAGTAGTAGCCTCCTCCTCTTTTGACTCTAGAGCAGCAATTGGCACACTTACTCGATGCTATATAGTTGCAGTTGAATAATCAAATTTAATTGATAGTAGCATTTATGGTGTGTGGTATAGCTACTTTTACTGTTATTGCTAATCCTCACATCTGACCAAAGTTCTTTCATAGGGATCCTAGAATGATATGTACTATTAGTTCGATCACTTTACGGTGATTATTACCTATTATAGA